TTGCATGCGTTTTCTTAGATAAGTAAATTCCGTCTTTTTATTTTAATGATATCACGATTTAACATTCTCAACCTTGTGAATTATGGTTGAAAATATAATGGAGCATGCTGTTGGAACGGACGATATTGCTATTCCAGTATGTGCATACCGTTTTATTTAACTAATACATGCATCGTCATAATTAATTAATCCATAATGTAATATATACAATTGAAGTAACTCAATAAAACATTATCTAACTAACTTTCAACGTAGCCATGATTTGTTTCAGCTTTCTTTTCTTAAATTAGTAAACATAACACTTTCAGTACAAAGTATTGCGTCACTGATGTACGTGTTACTTATATCAAGATAAATCTGAACAACTTATTTTTATCAACTGACCTTACATTAACATCGCAGATATACGACATCATTTTGTGTAACAGGTGGAGGGACCCTGCGTTTATCCGAGCCCGTTTACAAAGGATTACGTTGCGGACACACTGAAACCGATGTGTATGCAGAACTCCTGTAATGACACACTGCGATGCACTAATTCAGTAAGTACTGGCAATTTGTATAATGGAAAAGAACAGAAGACAATATTGAAGTGTAAGTACGCAAAATAGATGAAGCTAGGGAATAAGACCAGGTAAGCGTCTCCTGCTATATCCCCAGTTATTCAGTTGTTGTTTTTATTTAAACCAATACAGTTTGTAGTTGTTAGTTGATGTTGTATTTATAACAATATTTTAATCTGTAACCTTTGTATAGCTTACGCTTTCCTTTCCATTAACCATTATCAATATTCCAGCAGTTACGCTCTCGTATATACTCTGCACCCCTGATATATGTCGTAGCATGAAGGCACGAAGATAGAAATTTGATTGGGTTCAGGTAAATAAGCATGACCATTCGCTGAGCCGATACCTGTACTCTGAAGATTACAGAGGAGCGACATCAATTTCACCGTTATGTGACCTTGATATTATTTTGGTGTACAGCAACGTATTAAACTAGCCTTCTAGTCTCATCCACAAGGTAGCGCACATCCAGGGGCGCAGACGACGTAAGTGTAACCCCTGGAGTATCGAGGATGTAACAAGTACCAATAGCATTATCCTTAACTCATGATGTTAGATTTGTTTTTCCCGTTCAAATTGATTTGACGACATATAAAGAACGAAGATGTAGTCTGCATATTTATATATCTGTCAATGTGTAAAGTACATTTCTAGTAGCGTATATTCACTGTATTCCTTTTTGTTTTCTTGCTTCTCAACTTTTTAAAGCGTCAATGAAAGTAGTCTTTCTTTTGAAATAGTTGCTATCGTCAGTTTAGTTAAATGGTAATTGCACAACTGTCGCTGGTTAGGAGCATCAAAGGATCTCTCGTTATTGACGCAAATATCACAGGCCCACCGTAGCTTTGATACTGCCATCCTCAATATCCAGGGGTAACGCTCACTTACCCTCTCTGCACCCCTGGAATATGTCATAGCAAAATCGAAGGCTCAGTTTGCACCACCTTGCTGATGAGACAAGAAGACTAGTTCTATCCTTCGATGTACATCAGAGAATCTCGCGGTCACGTAACGGTAAAAATTGATTGACTTGAAGTCGGGTGTCGCCCCTTTGTAATCTTCAAATGACAGGTATCAGCTTAGCGATTGGTCAGGGCTTTTTTTTTTTACCTGAGACCAATTAAACAGCTATCTTTGTGCCGTCAATTTTGCTATGACATATTCCAGGGGTGCAGAGAGCGTAAGTAAGCGTAACATCTGGATATCGAGGATGATTGTATGCCTTTATTAAGCGATTGTTTTCGTAGAAAGCTTAAATTAGAGATATCCATAAGAAACTTGGAGATCTTTTTGCACGCCTATTTGTTAATCACCCAATCGTAACAAAAAACATCTGTTTACATGAAAACCCATTTAAAACCATCTAAAATAGCCATGGTATAGCGTCTCTCATAGTAAAGTTAAAAAGTTAAGTACTGATCTAAACAATTAAAGTTTAAGTCTAGTGTGAAAAGAAATATGTTGATAGAGTGCATTCTATATTGTATAGATTGCAGTATACAATGTGACAATTAATTAGTAAAATTTTAATTTGATCCAGAATTATAGTTCATTTTACAACAATATTTCAATATCTAAATAAAAAGGAGTAAGGCGTACAAATGAAAGCGCCAATGTAACACTGATGTTAGTATGTGGCAGTTTATTTTAAAAATTGTATATTAAAATTTTGCATCAAACTTATTTATTATAAACATATGTATGTTTTGAGAAAATGTTATGATAAATATGTGCCAGATGTCTTTGATCATTCAGCAGATTTTGATCTTTCCCTTGATGTTACACCAGATCTCCTGGCGGTTGTCACGTGTAATACCGAAACATGTAATACTTTCCTTTTGGAGTATTTTGTTTACCTCTGGTATTTTGTATCTCTGTTCCTGCTTTTGTATTTGTGTAATATGCTACTTGTCGAAACCTTAACGTTGGATAGGTGTCAGAATAAGCACTGTGTCCGTCATATTTGATACAGTCTCGAGGATATTAAATTAACAAAAAGTATACATGTTTAAAGCATTTCTCAAAAATATCAAATAGTATTACTGTGCAGTAAGACAGTTGGTAGAGCTATCTCAAACGACAAATATGGTGAAAATAACAGACACATGTCTGTTTCTACGAAAATGTTCACTCCTTTACAAGTCGTCCGGTAGGCAGTAGTTTGTTACGGTCAGTGATGGCTAAAACAGTAAGCGGTCAAACATCACAAATATGGTATTATTCACGTGAAATAAAACCTAAACGTGCTGCGATTGGTCAAAATCGTTGGAGCATATTCCTCCGCGACTACAGGTACTACTTTAATTTACTATACAACATCAAACGTTTACTGTTATTTTAAATAAAATTTGAAACGTTTATTTAGTTTTTGCTATTTTCATTACATTTTAAACTGTTCATGATTAAAACAAATATCTGGAACTATTTTGCATTTTGCGGAACGACATTTTTAGGATCGCAGAACTTTGGTTTTTACCAAAATAGAGTCAGTTGGTTACACATTATTGCGTTTGAGGTTTTTTTTATATTATGAATGTTATGTGAAAATTAGAATCTTACATTCGTGTCCATGTCGTATTGAATTTATTAAACGCGTTCGAAAATTTGATATGACACGAGTCTTTACTCTATATGGTGCAAATCAAAATGTTGTTTTTATCATTGAAAAACGTTGCAACCAGTGTAGTGGCAGATAAACGGGTCAAAACATTCATTTGTCGACTGTTTTTGCCTCTAGATGTTCGAGGAAATACAAAATGTAATAAGTCTGCTGTAACTAAGTGTATTTGTATCGTAAGAGGCGACAAGTGTGGGGGACATGTTCAATTGGGGGTTCTTGTGATAGTCTTTGATCAACACTCACGAACAGCTATCTTCGCAATGAAAATGTTCGCGTTGGAAATCTTTCTATAAAATGTATTTCTAGTGTAACTCTTTGTTCGATAATTTTCAATCCACAAAAACAAAATTAAGAATGTATCTTAAGACGTTGACGATTATTCATCTGACAGAAGAAAAAAAATATCAGTAAAAAATAAAACCGTTTCTACGATCGTTATATCTGATCATCTGCTCTACGCTTGACAGACCCGAGAAATTGCCTGTCGTGATCACGGACACGAACCGTCACAGTCGAGCGGGTCGTTAAAAAGTATGAAATGCTTGTTTTTGAGATAGATGATTTATACTGAAATTAACATGTAATGTTTATTTACATTAATAATACTATGCGTTAATGTCGGTCGGTACATTGATGTCTCAAAAAAAAAACGTTAACAAAAAAATCATACGTTTAAATCATTTTGCAACTAAATAGATTAAATGTATTTTCTTTCATAGTCCTGTGTTCTGATGGAGCGATAAGACATGTCTTTTTAAATGAACTGATATAATTCATACAGAAAACTTCAAACGGACCGTCTGGTTGCTGATCACACACGTGTAGTTACAGTTCCAAAACTCATTTGATCGACATAAAAGAGGAAATGTGTCGCTATGACTGAGACTACATAGATAGCATATTAACTGCTATCTATATACGTCGGTTGTCAAGCATTGCGTTCCATATATATGTAAGATGTAATTTCTTATTTAAATCATCACGAAATGTACAAAATCGTCTAAAAAATATTTGTGTTTAAATATACTTGAAAGTTGTACAGTATAAATACACTACATCGACGTATGTTAAAAGGAAACTAATTTTACGGTAAGGCTAAATGACATATATTTATCGATTCATAATTTGATTGCCATATCAGATCGACAGAACCCATGATTGATTCCGGCGAGTAGTTCCCTATAATGTCGGGGATGTTGAGAGCTACACATCTCGGCTTTTTACTGGAGCACGTCGACCATGCCGTTCACCGCTAACCCGTACTCTCACACTGCAGCCGATAGTTTCATAGCTATTAATATCGATGTATGATTTAATTAAAATACACACATTTCATTGTAAATCGACTACAAAGCCATTTTATTGCCAACAATGTCATATTGAGTGTCATACACCGAAACCAATCTAGTTTTATTGAGTGCCTTTTTCTTTTGATTGCGGTAATTATTTTACAAGAATTTAAAAAACAAAAATGAAAACACCAGCTATTTAAAAAAACGGTAACAGTGAGAATCCAGCTCAGTTCTAAAGGTTTTTGGTTCATGTATAATTTAGCAAACGCTTCTCGTTCTCAGAGAGTCGCGTCTAAGCCTTTGACAAGCGTTAAACAAGACAAGCGACTACGTCAAGCGCCATGATACATCTACATTGCAGACAGTTCAATGGTGACCAATGGACCAGGGCGACACGCTTGGAACCAAAACAGTTATCTGTGAATAATTCATGTCTACTTAATATTCGACTATGTGTCGTATGGTAACAGCAGCCTGACAACCATTATGTACTCCGTGTAGGACGACGACGACGACGACAGAGAGATCCCGGGGTAGAGACGGTATCCGAGATGGCGGACCGGAACATGGGATGAGTTATTTAACTGACAAGCTGAAACAGCAAGGTAAACATTGAAAACCACATCACTATTAGATCAACACACAATTTGGAAAATCAAATAATAATTTGTCGGGTGTTCGTTTAATGTAAAGCCATAGTGACCGTACTAGGACATCGGTCACGGAGTGGGCACTGCAGCGAGGACACCGAAATATAACAGACAGGACTGACAGGAAGGGAACCATCTCGTAACCAAGGCAACAGAAGTTTCCATCGGCGTCATTAAATGGTAAGACATGTTTTACTAGTTATAGAAAAAACAGATTTAGCTTATAATATGTTGTTTATCGAAAATGAAATCGAAACTTTTCTTGAAACTTGGCGATACTTGGGAATGCCACTCTGCAACATGTCGGCAGAAACTATAAGGATCGTTCTAGTACGATACTACAATTGATTCTAAGGTGGAGACATGTTGGATTTTATCTTCTACTTCTTTGTTATTGTTAATCAAAGGACTTTCGGAATGTACAAAATGACGCAGAATATTATAATCAATGTGAAAACAAACACAGACACCATTGATACCTATATAGAAAACAAACAGTCCAACTAAACGGTGACAAAGACGAGCCATCAGAGGGTGGGTGGACCCTTAGACTTTGATTATTGGTAATCAACCCCGGTATTGTGTAGCCTACTGTGGTCAACACATGCTCAGGATGAACACGTGTAGCTCGCGGAATATTTCCCTAATTAGGACTGAATAATAATAGCATCTATTTGTTTTTCATCTTATGAACATTCAAATCGCAAATGATCATCAGAATATGTCGACAATTATACCGAGAAGAGTAAAATCACACAGACTTACATACATGCGTACCAATAATATAAAGAGTGTTCCATTCGGAAGTCCTTGGACTTGTACAACTCGGATATCCTCGGGTTATTGTGATGGCGATATATTTATAAGTGAGGTTCACTTTGCCAAACACCCAGTATTTCAGTATTTGATGAGTAGACCAATCCAAGTATCATTGATTTGGATATCTAACTAAGATTACATGATATAATGCTTTGACAAGCACAATTTACACAATTTGAAAGTACATTATTGATATCCCTGTTTTGACAAGTGGCAATTTTTACACCTATCGCCATTTTACCCAAAATGCGAAGATACCAACCACGGTATACGTGTGGAGAAACAGCCCAAGAAACTGTCATACAGTACAAAGACGTGTTCTGATGGGAGAAGTGTTCACTTGATGATACTTCCATGTCAATTGCTATAAGCTTTATTAACTTCCGGTTATGGTTACATGGACAATTTATAGGTAACAATAATTATGAAAACAAACCTTTCTTAATTTACGAGTCGTGCGACGCTATTTATTTGAACATCATTTTCAAAAGTCTATATTTTTTAAATAATTAATGCTAGCTTGGAGAAGAAAAATCAACTAATCCTCTGACTCTTAACATCATGAGCTTTGTATAATTTTCTGCTGATATTGATCGTTTATCCCCCAATATTAGCCAAAATACAAAAGTGTCCCTTTCAGGGGACAGTTACACCTGCTCAAATGCATTCTATTCATAGGACATGTGCTCAGATATCAGCTTGTAATAGCACAGTGCAGTTGATGCTATCTATTTATGAAAAAATCATTTTTAGAAATTGACGACCTGGTATAAAATACATTGATATTCATCTAAACACTGTCCCGTTTTGGGTACTTTGACAATATGACTCGACATATACAGGTTGGTTACCCCTATTTTACCACGTACAAAAACAAGATAAATTTGCTTTGATAAGTACGAATCATGGACGTCCCTGCTTTGATTTGTACAATTTGGAAAACGTCTTTAATCAGAACTGTATTGAAAACGTCCTTCATAAGTACAATTTAATTATCGTCTTTGATAAGTACAATTTGGAAAACGTCTTTGATCAGAACTGTATGGAAAACGTCTTTGATCAGAACTGTATGGAAAACGTCTTTGATCAGAACTGTATGGAAAACGTCTTTGATCAGAACTGTATGGAAAACGTCTTTGATCAGAACTGTATGGAAAACGTCTTTGATCAGAACTGTATGGAAAACGTCTTTGATCAGAACTGTATGGAAAACGTCTTTGATCAGAACTGTATGGAAAACGTCTTTGATCAGAACTGTATGGAAAACGTCTTTGATCAGAACTGTATGGAAAACGTCTTTGATCAGAACTGTATGGAAAACGTCTTTAAATTGTTTGGAAACTGTCCTGATAAGTACAATTCAGATACCGTCTTTGATTTGTACAATTAGGAAAACGTCTTTGATAACCACAATTCAGATATCGTCTTTGATAATAAGTATACAATTCAGCTATCGTCATAGATAATAAGTATACAATTCAGCTATCGCCTTTGATATTAAGTATACAATTCAGCTATCGCCTTAGATAATAAGTATACAATTCAGCTATTGTCTTTGATAATAAGTATACAATTCACCTATCGTCATTGATAATAAGCATACAATTCAGCTATCGTCTTAGATAATAAGAATACAATTCAGCTATCGTCTTTGATAATAATTATACAATTCAGCTATCGTCTTAGATAATAAGAATACAATTCAGCTATCGTCTTTGATAATAAGAATACAATTCAGCTATCGTCTTAGATAATAAGTATACAATTAAGATATCGTCTTAGATAATAAGTATACAACTCAGATATCGTCTTAGATAATAAGTATACACTTCAGATACCGTCTTTGATAATAAGTATACAATTCAGATATCGTCTTAGATAATAAGGATACAATTCAGCTATCGTCATTGATAATAAGTATACAATCCAGCTATCGTCTTTGATAATAAGTATACAATTGAGCTATCGTCTTTGATAATAAGTATACAATTTAGCTATCGTCTTAGATAATAAGTATACAATTCGGCTATCGTCTTTGATAATAAGTATACAATTTAGCTATCGTCTTAGATAATAAGTATACAATTAAGATATCGTCTTAGATAATAAGTATACAATTAAGATATCGTCTTAGATAATAAGTATACAACTCAGCTATCGTCTTTGATAATAAGTATACAATTAAGATATCGTATTAGATAATAAGTATACAATTCAGCTATCTTCTTAGATAATAAGAATACAATTCAGCTATCGTCTTTGATAATAAGTGTACAATTCAGCTATCGTCTTAGATAATAAGAATACAATTCAGCTATCGTCTTTGATAATAAGGATACAATTCAGCTATCGTCATTGATAATAAGTATACAATTCAGCTATCGTCTGTGATAATAAGTATACAATTCAAATATCGTCTTAGATAATAAGTATACAATTAAGATATCGTCTTAGATAATAAGTATACAACTCAGCTATCGTCTTTGATAATAAGTATACAATTAAGCTATCGTCTTAGATAATAAGTATACAATTAAGATATCGTCTTAGATAATAAGTATACAATTCACCTATCGTCATTGATAATAAGCATACAATTCAGCTATCGTCTTAGATAATAAGCATACAATTCAGCTATCGTCTTTAATAATAAGTATACAATTCAGATATCGTCTTCGATAATAAGTATACAATTCAACTATCGTCTTTGATAATAAGTATACAATTGAGCTATCGTCTTTGATAATAAGTATACAATTGAGCTATCGTCTTTGATAATAAGTATACAATTGAGCTATCGTCTTTGATAATAAGTATACAATTGAGCTATCGTCTTTGATAATAAGTATACAATTGAGCTATCGTCTTTGATAATAAGTATACAATTCCGATATCGTCTTTGATAATAAGTATACAATTCCGATATCGTCTTTGATAATAAGTATACAATTCCGATATCGTCTTTGATAATAAGTATACAATTCCGATATCGTCTTTGATAATAAGTATACAATTCAGATATCGTCTTCGATAATAAGTATACAATTCAGCTATCGTCTTTGATTTGTACAATTAGGAAAACGTTTATGTTTATAATTGTATGGAAAACGTCTTTAAACTGTTTGGACAGTACAATTCAGAAACCGTTTTTGATTTGTAAAATTCAGCTATCATCTTTGAAAAGTTTTTTGATAAACGGAACGACAACAAAACAACCCATCGTTAAACATACAATACAGCCGATTTACAGTGGCGTTTCTATAACACGGAGAGTCTATAGTACTGAAACGTACTCAATCGATCAGAGCCGACAACGGTAGGGTTTCAAGTACAACACAAAAAGTATGATAAAAGGCCCCAGTAACTGTGTTATATAACTTCATACGGTGGCCATGTTATTTTATTGGTCTAAATTGCCCAGGATTCTAAGAGCCCCAAGGGAAACAGTTCACGTCATAGTTACACACACTGACAATGTTAAAGTATATATAAGTCAAATGAATTAGGCATCGCTATGGTCATATAATAGCCCATCCCACCAATAATATTTGTGTCTATGTGTGTGAATATAAATATCGATCAATTTATTGTACTGTTCCGAGTCTATCTGTAAAAAAACGAGGATAACATTCGATCGAAGGTGCCATAAATTATTAATAAAAAATAATACCACAAAGTCTGTAATGCCAGCTCCGTTTCGGACGCATCCCGGCCGCCATTTTGTCGTATTTGTAAAAAGCTCTCCTGTATAGTGTACAAACTCTTATCGATTCACATCCAACTAAAAGTGTAAATCAAATTTAGAAGCCTAAAGTATAACGCCCATTATCAAATTTATGTTTAAAATACTAATATCCGCTTTTGTTTTAGTCAATAAAGCTTTGTGATTCAGGAATCAACAATAATAGTGTATTCGCTCGAGTTTCTGATATTGACATCAATTTTTAAAATTCCGGAACTAGTACCGCGCGAGTGTTTAGACATGACAAACAAGCGATCCATCACGAACTGTCAGAGCCATTTGCTTCGAGGGCGCTATCATCTCCGTACTGCCGCCTTCAAACCAGAAGCAGGGCTATGTATTTGACTGAAAGTAAAGGGGAGATAAATACATTTAAAAAGTTAAGACCGGGTTTAAGAAGTAACTCGAAGAAACAATACCATTATAAGAACCATAATTATAACTATTGTTTGAAGTACTGGAAAACATTCATATTTTCTTCTCTGCAATTTTTATATGGTCATGTTTATTCAAATTTTTGGTGTTTTATTTTATTATTTTGCTGTCACTCGACTGTTTGCCGTGTATATAGTTAAAGATTATCGAGAGAAAACTTGTAAATTTTATATAGTAGGTAGCCCATTGCTATATATAAAAAATATAACGGTTTGACAAAACATAGAGGTCTATGTGAAATAAACACTGGTATGATACCTATAGCAGTACACACCTGAACCAGCATGGACGATGTGTATAGCTTCAAAGTAAAGTTAAAGAAAAGTGATAAGTTTAAGAATGTATGCTAATTAACTATGGCCTGTACCTCCCATACAAAATATTTCCACTCTAAAAATCAAGTACATGTAATTGGTCATCTTGATTAGTTTATACTCCCATTTAAACGACATGTACGACTGCGGGTACCGATGACACTCATGCTATTCTGGATTATAACGTTGTGAAAGGGAGATAACTCTAACACATAACAGGTGTATGATGTGAACGTATTGTATATCCTTAACAGATTCCAAAAGGAAACAAATTCTGGATTGTAAGGTTGTTCTGTTTAAAGGGAGTTAACTCTAACACACAACAGGTGTATGATATGTACGTAGTGTATACCCTTAATAGATTCCAAAAGGAAACGATACTTACATGTACCTTAAGTCCGGTAATTGCAGTAATTCATACACTTCTTTAGAAATATATACGAGAAATAGCGGACGCTTAACTAGGAAACTGTTTTACCTTCAAACCTGAAGTAATCTACCTCTAAAACTCTATATATAATGAGCATACCGTTAAGGATACACGCACCAAAAACTGTAATTGTGAATTTGGAAACATTTTCATTGAAAGGCTATAGCAGCCAAGCTTTGCTGAATGTTAACGAGATGTGAATGCCGTCGCTCTTCCCGACTGAGCGACCTGGTCAACGAAAAAAACCTGGCCAAGCCGCGTCTACATTTGTGTCTACAATTGTATCCAAAATGAAATTAAGGGGAGATTATTGTTTTTACAATGTCCGGTGGAATTCTTTAGTGTTTTGCCTACAAAGGGACAGGGATCTTTAAATGGGTAATATTCGTGAGAGATTATATTTCGGGATTTTCACGGAAGTATAACATTTCGTGAATTTATGACTTAGGATACTCCAAAATGCGACAAAATACCAGAGAACAAGTGTCATCGCATTTTGAGAGAACAATACTTATAACAACTTTCCATAAGTCATTCTAGCACATTGATGTCCAAGTTCATTTAGACTTCTAGATCTGCAACTCCAAAAGGCGATAATATATATTATATAAATATCACCAAATTTAAAAAGACCAATATTTTTGTCAGCTTGCTGTAGGTTATCATAAGATATTATAACACTGTTACACATTGGTGTCATAGTAAAATATATTATAACACTTTTACACATTGGTGTCAAAGTAAATTTGACTTTAGAGACTCCAAAAAGGCAATACTATACATTAAAATATATAAGAGCCACCACATTTAAAGAGACCAATTATATAGATATGCATATTTGTTGGCTAATTATAAGGTTTGCAGTGTATGGTAGGTAAAAAGATTGTCCAGGTGAAAATCTTTTACTCAATGTTTTTTTTTGTGTTCGAGTTTGGAAGCATGCAGTAAGTCAGTTGTTGCATGATTTCTCGTCACCCGGGACTTATTACACTCTCACTTCGCTCGGGTGTAATAAATCCCTTGTTACTCGAAAAACCATGCAATAACCTTTACTTTCAGACACGGGCCGTAACCGACCAGGTAAGTCAATTTAGCTGTCCTTTGTCTGAGACTGAATGCAGTGTCCGATCTGGTGGCTGTCCCAGTTAATCCCGTTACGTAATAAAATTAAGTAAAAAGTTAATTTGACAACAATGGTTCAAACGAATTATGCATGTCGACTTCAAAGAAAAAGCTTCGTGAATAGAACTTATTTAAATTGACACAATTAGATAAGGAGAAACAATTTACACAAAACAGTTCCAGGATATTAATTAAATTAAATGAAAGTTGAAAAGTTGGTAATTTAAAATACGCCAAATAACGAATATAATGATATATTAAATTTAAGTTCAAATTTAGCACTTTTATCATAAAATTCTTTATGATACATATATCCTATTTATCCTATTTAATTAAAACGAGACTTCCAATTTCTCTCTTCTACCTACAATGTGCACTTGGTGGTAGAGCGAAATTACAAGTCTATTTTAATTAGATTATATTTACCATGTAACTAATTATCGTATAAAAGTAACTACGTCTGCTTTGAAAAAAAATCGAGTAAAAATCTGATAAAATAATCGCTATGTTGAACATGTAAAAAGAAGATAGATGTGATTACAGGGCCCGATTTAGATATATATGTACCTATTTACTTACAAGTTCTTGCAATCAATTCTTTGTCCAGTCTCTCTCATTATTTTTATTTCAATCCTTAATGTTTAATGTTGCCTGTTAAGTCAAACTTCCCTTGCCTGTAGTCTACTACGTGCATTAGCATGAAGGGGGGGGAAACACGTGGCACGTTCTGTGTTTGCCGAGTGGCTTTCCGAAGAGCTATGTAAAGGGAGGTAATTATACGTTGTGTACCTAACTTTCCACTGTTTACTACACATTAAATTGATTGTCCATATATTACATTGTTATGTAAACTTTGCGTCGGTTATTTCTGTTGTCCAGGTGGAATTTCATTGCACAATCATGTTATCGTTTTCCTTTCAAACCAAATGAAATTATATTGTTTTCAAACAAATTTAACCCATTGAATCAATATTTATATTTTTCTCGATGGATTTAAACAGAAAAGGCACGTTCTCTCGACGCTATGACAACAGTTGTACGACTTTCGTTTTACGGATTTTAGAAGCCGATATCAACACCACTTCGTGAAATTAATTTCCCAACTTGTTGATTCAAAGCGACCACAGTAAATAATAGTATGTATGCGTCATTGATGTTATTGATGGGTTTTTTTTCACAAAAGAGCTCCGGGATTGAAAAAAAATGTCAGATTCATTAGATAAATTGCCCAAATGAAGATATTCAATGTAAGTGCATGAAAGGTCAATACATTTATTTTCTAACAAAACGTCTACATAGACCTTAATCTGTCTGCGTGCTACCATCGGGGCAAATGACTTGTTTCATAATTGTTTATCCTATTCGTTGAAAGGGTCATGTCAACCATTCGTAACAGACTTGTTGTCAGCTCTCTCCTTATAGTATCGCCTTAAAATTACGTCACGGCTAAACCCGTTACACTACATTGTATAATATTAGAAATCCTCATTACATTTCAGTCCTCTACAGATTAACGTAAGTATATACGTAACTGTCTACCGGGCGTGGTCAACACAATACTTGAAAAGAGAAAATAATGGCCGTGTCACATGACTGACGATGTCCACATGTGACAGTATCATACCGAAATATTATTTCACTTCGAAGATGAAAACCTGATGCATGACCTCGTCAAATCCTTTAGCGCTGCACGTTAGTCGCCTCGTCGGGATGCTCCAGCGACCCATATAAGCCTTCGGGCCACCTCGTTGGGATGCTCCAGCGACCGATATAAGCCTTCGGGCCAGCCGTCCCTCGGGCTCATATAGAGGTATCAGTATTATGCGTGGTATGATAGGGGGAGATTATCACAGCCTGCAATTACACTATGTATGCTATTTGTATTAGGGTTAAGGGTGTATGCTACCTTTCATATTAAACACTTGATTTGTGTTGGAGTGAACGTTACACGCTACCTTATAAAGTATCCTGGTGATTTATAATAGGGTTAAGGGTATATGCTGTATTTCTACACAATGTTTTGTGAACTGTGCCAGAATTATCTCCCTCGATCAATTGAATTTTCTCAGTCTTATCATTCAGATTTGCAGCTGTTGATTAACGTAGATCGTTGGTCGCTTTAAAATTTTTGACTGGCAGCAATATATTCTGCTATCGTTTATTTGTTATATATTTTTCTTTGTATATGTTTTTCAATTATCTTAATATGATTCTACTAGGATTTTTTTCACTATTTCTCATATTGCATTTAGGTTCATTAATATGCAAATGCTGTTTTATTGTCTGATCATGAAAAAAATAAACAGTCATCATGAGTTTCCCAAAATCCGTCACTTGTTATTTAAATGATAGATTTAGCAATGCAAAGATGAGTCGCATACTGAAATTAACACGGTCTAGATTATCTAATGACTTATGGAATGACAGCCCGAACGACAAGTGAACACTTTTTACCTGTTTAGTGCCAAAATGGAGCTAAATATTTAATTCCCCCGTATCGTCGAAAGTAACATCAATCTACGTATTCATGTCAAAGATTAATCATACATCCTAACAAAGTGTTATTTTTTTATAAGAGACTTCCATTTTTGTATTTATTGACTATATACTACCATGGACTTCTGGGGGACTCCGGACTCCACATCCACCAAGGTGGAGCTCTCACCTTCCACGATTTAAATGACATATTCTGAGTTGTCTACTAATCTAATTCTGTGACACTCCTGATCAAATGAAATTAGCAACAAAAGTGTTAATTGCCCACAACAAAACACGAGCTGAAAGTGTGATTTGAACCGTCCTATAGACGCCAAGCAGCTTACACGACTTAGCTTTACTTAGACGATAACCTTTACTTAGATAACAACACGGACTACGGACTAAGATTCCGTGCTTACACAAACAAAACAGGACATGTGACAACCCCCCGACAGTCTTCGAGGAATACTCATAATCTAGTCGCGACTGAGAAAGGCGAACGTTATTTTGTAATCAACACCAGGTTTTGATTTCACGAATATGATTTCTTCCTTTTGGCAGGCATCCAACAAGTATGTACGCTACAAGAAAGTGTTTTCATCTCTACAGAAGGCGGAAATAGACAGTAAGTGAATTTCTTCTGCTTCCTCTTCTTCTTCTGGTGTGTATTATGGTTTGGTTTTGTTACGTTTAATTTCTTAACGTGCTATTAAAAGCTGGCGTGCCTTTATTTGTGTGATGTATGTGTCCAGGAGGCGATATGTTGGTATGTTTGCCTGCTTGTGATAGCCAAGATCTGATGCCTACATTAGAGTGCTATCTCACCCGAAATACAAGCCGAAAGCACCCAGCATATTACCCTAGTACCGGGTATTCAATCCGGTCACATTATACTGACAGAACGTTAACTTATAAGTACGAGAGTCCCGTCACTTTTACCGTAAAGAGCCATTAACAAGTTATTTTCCTGTTCAATTTATGTTATATACAGAAACAACTAAACTATGTAGTTGACGGGTCTTTTCAGGAATTTTTTTAACATTTCGAAACCGTTATCAGTAATGTTGCGTAAAGTACTAACATAACAAATACCATGTTCAGTAGGGTAGTGAGTAAGCTCCTTGTTTGAATCCCCGGTAAAGTTTTTTTTGTGAAAAGTGAATTGCAATTCAAGAATGAAATAAGACTTACCTGTACGTTGAATTTCATTATTGTTTAACTCTTTGCTTTATATCATTATTTCCTTTATTTCCTCCAAACATGAAGAGTTACAGAAATAACGAACAATACACGTACAATTCAACACTATTGAAAGAGAAAAAAATGCATTCACACTCATGGTCACACCCTTACATAGTGACACGACATACACACACACACACATAAGAGAATACTAATAGTACACGCATCATACCATAAAGTACTATAAACACAACACAATGATACTATAAGGTACTATTACAGTCATTATACGGTGATAACAGTAAAACACTCATCACACATTAAATCACACATTGATATAATAGACATATTTACACTCCTCAAACTACATTATCATATAATAGTATAGACAGTAATTCACTTCTCGTACTAAGCAATCATACAACATTGTAATAAACAGTATTACAAGCATCACATAATAAATTATACAGCATTATTATAGACAGTATTACTGTTACATAAGTCTTACAATACAATCATACATTGAGTAGAACCCGTTGCACGAAGTCATACAGTGGTGTGAAATACACAACATACAATATAATAATTAACTTAAACAAACAGAGCAACTAAGCAATGATTTCAGTTGTAGTAAAACATATCACAAGATTAATTCATACAATGCAAACGATTTTATGAATGGTAATAAGTTGCAATAATCATGCAGCCTAATTGTGCAATGGTATAACAGGAAAGACGCAGGAAATGCTTGCCTACTAATATGAATACAGAAATATATGTATTTCATGTATTAATCTTGCTGAAGCGTGAGGTACACACACTGTAAAATGGTAGTCACATACATATCTCTCAGTATATACAACATTCAATTAATTAAGGATAAATTACATAATACCACTGTGTTGAGGAATTTTAGTAATAATAACAATGGATTTTATTCTAAAGTCCTCCAGTTCATATGGAGATAAATTATAGTTGAAAACACCACCAGGAAGAACATGAAGTAGGTGGTTTAAACATATTGTAAGCAAGAGGATATGGCACAAGTTACATAAACATTATAATCACCCTTTCCTTACAATTTAATAAAACATATACATCATAAGATGGCTAAATATCAATATATATATGTGTCACCCTTCTAATTTTAAACACTCTTTCTGATTGGACATCTTGCCGGGGTCTATATTTCTATAAACCCCGCTCTGCCGGGGTCTATAGAAGCACGTGCGATGGGAGACAACTCAAACAAGAATCTCTCTTCATAACAGCAAAGATGGCGTCCGACACAATTCACTGGACGAAATAGCTTACAAGCAATCTAAAACGACAGCAAAGTCAACGAAACAGGCAATGAGGGGGCTGCTAACTGTAAAGAGGGTTGTGTTTTGTCCGAAATACTGCCGAAAACTATTCAAAAGATGTCCGGTAGGTCTAAGGGGCTATTGTGGTAGCAATCAAGTACAACTCAAACTTACTTAGCGAATTATAATTTTGCAGGAAAAAATGTAATAAAAGATTGTCAGGGTGACACATTCGTCATCTCTGGGTTAGGAGGGGTCTACTGGCTCATAAATCGTCAAGCAACAACTTCAAGCAAAAAAAGTCGAACAAATTAGAACTTTTCTTCGTAGAAGATACACCGGACAGAACACTTGGACTCTCTACCTTAAAATGTCCTACCTACCCCTACCAGTCAATTACACAGTTAAATACCTTTACACATACATATTAAAGAATTATTACCTTCAGCACAAACAAGTACAGTGTACTTACATATTCATGTAGAAGAATGTCTTTAATCAAGACACTCCAAAAAAAAGGTTCCCGGAATTTAAAAAAAAGCACGGGTTTAAAAAAAAGGACAAAGCGTCATTGATTTTTTTCCAGTTTATGTATTGATTAAGCATTCAGAAACCCGTATTTTCTCTTCGATGTCGGATTAGTTAGTTTCCAGTGTGTACCGAAACGTTTTAGTAAAATACGTTTATTTGGTAGTGAATGTGTTTAGGACTGGCTGGTGTGATTCTATTGAGATTTTAATGAGCCGATTTGTTTCTCTGTAACCATGAATTTGAGAGAAAAAAAATATGTTTTTTAAAGAAACCAACATATTGCGGAATTTAAAAAAAAAAAAAAAAAAAGTATTTTCCTTATAAGACAAAAAGAAAGAGGGTTTTTGGTTAAAATGCATTTGGTCAAACCGGGATTCGGTGTCCTTACCCGCTAAATTTATATCCAGATCGAAATAAAGAGAGTATTATTATTATTGTGTGACTGAAAACTACAGTGAAGTTCTCTCATGCGTTCAGTGGAGACATATGTGTTTTTGCCAGAGTTACCTCGCTTATATCTGTCTTTTCGGCTATGGTCATCCTCGATATCCAGGGGTTACGCTCACTTTCGCTCTCTGCACATGCAAAGGGAAAGTGAACGTTACCCCTGGATATCGGGGATGGTTACGGTCTAACCCCCTGTAGTATCTAGGATACGACATAGTTAGGTGGTTATACGGGGTTTGGGATATGTTGTGACTTTTAAGCGATTGCAATTGTGAATATTTTATTTTATGTGATTTATTTTTGTAGTTACGATTAACATGATTTCATTGCAGTGTACCGTGACGTATTCAAGTTTTTCGACAAGACCAACAGAGGCTACCTGATAGTGGAGGACTTCGCTAGGGCTCTACAATGTATCAGCCAGTCCCCGGCGGAGGGCGAGGCCGAGGCTCTGCTTAAACTTCACGACGTCAACGGTAAGGGCAGAGGAGGAGTTAAAACAAGGTGTGGAAAAAATGTTCGTGTTACGTCTGTCTAAACAGATTGCGGTGTGGACATTTTGCGTTGATAATGATTCAGAAATCTCTATTTACTTCATTTATATGTCTATAAGTCATGTCACCTATAAATATATATTCGCGTGTGAATGTTTTCGCGCGGAGTTACTCATCGCGAAAAGTGCAAACATTTCCACACTGCGGAAATTTCCATTTTTACAGTATAGTATGAAGTTAACATTCTATAAATGGTCATTTTTAAAACTGCCATTTTAAAATTGCACGGTTCGTCCTTCGTGACGCCCTTACGAACACGTGGTAACGTTGATGTTTCGTCCACAGGTGACGGCAAGGTGACGTTTGAGGAGATGGTGGTGATTACAGTAAAGAGAAAGAAGTTATCAGACGATGAATCAGAGATTCAAAAAGTGTTCAGGAAGTTTGACAAAAACAGGGACGGATTTCTGACACGAGACGAGCTCGCGGAGGTCGTAACCGCTATGGGTGAAAAACTTGGCATATCAAGCGTAGAAGATATAATGGAACAGTTCGACAAAAACCACGACAACGTCATACAATATGAAGGTACGTATGACGTCATGTCAAGCCAGTCTTTCATCGTACCTAAATATAACTTTATTTATGGAACAAGGTTTTTTTTTCAAATTATAATGTTTATTAATCACTCTTGTTAGCGCGCAATGTTTCATTAGTCTTTCACCTTACGTGATTTCCAATTTGATTACATATTAATTCATATTGTTTACAAAAATAAATCCTGATATCGTTTTCTGTCCCATTTTGAGACAATTTTCCACACAGCTGGATACCCGTTCAGTATTTCTAGTAGTTTTGATGACGTCAATCATGTTGACATGCGCAAAGCAATAGTACAGTCCCAGTGCTGAACTGAAGGTTCTATTGAGATTGGTGTATAAAGCGTAGCTTTTTTTCATTCATTCATTCATTCTTTATTACCTTTATTACAAACAAAGTATACAACACTCCGACCATGCCTACATGATAGAACTACAGCGACAGTGTAGGGAGTGATTCCTTTCACCTTAAACAGTATTGCATCTCATTTTTCGACTTTGGCTCAGATATTTTGCGAACATAGACAGTTCTTTATTCTTTTCATGTTTTCATATTTTAGTTTTTACATGATAATATTTTTTAATGAAACGGTTACTTAAATCAGTATAATGACTACATCTAATAATAAAATGATATTCGTCTTCAATATCGCCAGTGTTACAATATATACAAATTCTAGCTTTTCTCTCTAAACCATGAAATCTACCCGTTTCAATATTCAACGTATGCGATGACAACCGAACTTTTAGCAATTTTTTATATATTTTGTAATCCAATAGGTTCAATTAAATACTGTTTAAGACAAAAAATACCACAGATCCATTTATAAAGAGAACACTTAGCAGATGAATTAATTAAATCTAGACACTCCTGTTGAAAAATGTAATGCATTCTACATTTAATAATATTCAGAATTTGACCTTCATTACCTTCTGTTAGCCATAAAGGTCCCAAACCTAACCTATACAATTCATTTCTTATGTTATTTGTCCAGTCGCTGCCCTTTTCAATCATCTCATCGTAACAAGCCTTTAAAATGCAATTATCCGAAATTCTAAGTTTAAGCCAATATTTAAAAAATCTGAATTTTCTAATTGTATATGTAAAGGAAGTCTCCCTAACTCTTGATCAATCATAACATTAGGTGTGTTTTTCTCGTCATCCAAAATTCGTTTACAAAAATTCAACTGCACTTTTTCAATATCTGGAGCTTTGTGAACGTCAGCTCCTTCGTTTAGGACACTGCACACAAAAAGTATCAAAAACGCTAAATTGTGTTTCAATATCAAAATATTTCTTTTTACAAACATTGAATACAGCATATAGTGCTTTCCTACCTTGGTAGCTAAAACTGTCAACATTTTCTTAAACATTACCATCATAAAACCATTCGTCTACCTCCTTCAACTTACCACCATTTCTAAAAATCATGACTTTAGTTTTTTTCAACATTAACAGTTAAATTCCATTTTTTAGTGTATTGTAACAATGTGTCCAACAATACCTGCAATCCCTCTACCGATTCAGCTAACAAAACTATATGATCTGCGTACTGTACATTAGAAGAAATAAGTTAATTGTTTGGAGTTCTGTAGAAGGACACTTATCAGTTAAAACATGCATGTCACAATCATTCACATAAAGAGAAAATAAAATCGGTGATAATATTTCGGCTTGGAACAAACCGTTCCTGCATTCGAAGAAAGTATACATTGAGTTGTTGAATTAAACACAACATTATATACGTTATTAAAAGAACGTATTGAATCAAACAATTTTCCTTCTTCTCCTTCCTTAGTTAGTTTAAACCATACATCCTGTCTGTTAATAAAAACGAAAGCTTTCTTATAATCTATGAAACAACAATATAGCTTCTTTTTCTTCTTTAAAGTTCTATTAATTAACCATTGCAAGACAAACACAGCATCTTCGGTTGACATAAAAATATGCTTTCTAAATGCTTTTATATGTACAACCTACCATTGCTGATTTCAAACTCGTCCCAGTGCACCAGGCTGAAATAGTGACACCACCTGTCGATCGTTGCTAAAATATCACAATGATTTCTAATCTCTTAACTTAGAATATTGTTCGGTTGAATATTTTCTTTTCCAAGTCGGTCTAGATTGAAGAGAAATTGTAAATCGTATTCATTACAGACTCTAACATGACTGGTGTCCCAACTTCAAAATTTCATTTATATACATATAACCCGAGAAATTAGTAACAAAGCACTATAGCAAAAACACAACCTTCTGTTTATGATTGACAGAAATGTGTTATTTACTATTTGATTGCCATGTGTAACACCTTATATTCTAAAGTAGGTAGAGCGGCTGAAAAAAAAATAGTTTTAAAAAAGTGAAAAGTTTGTTTTTGTTTTTTTATCACAACTGAGCACTCGATCATGTAATGCATTGTTTTGGTTTTTAATCCAGAGTTCGCAAAGATGATGGAAGGGGGCAATGATGCTGATGAGGAGGGGAGGGAGGAACAAGACGAATCGAAGGCGGAGGCTAATGCCGACGCGCCAACGGACAATAACGTTGACGAGAAACCTGACGAGAAGACACAAGAAAAGAGTGAAGCAAAGCCCGAAGGAAAATCCGGAACGAAGGGTAGTAATAGCAAATCAGAAGGGAAGAGCAAAACAAAGGGAAGTAATAAAACTGGAGGCAAATTTGGAACGAAATCTGACGGTAAAACAAATTCGAAAAATGACGCTAAACATGCCGCAAAAAGTGACGTGAAAGGTGACGTCAAAACGGACGACAAGTCTAACGTGAAAGGCGAAGCAAAACAAACTGGTAAATCTGGTGCGAAAAGGGACGTTAAGAGCGACTCGAAATCAGAAGCCGGGTCCAGTATAAAAAGTGATTCTAAATCTAACAGTACAAAAAGTGATTCTAAGTCCGACAGTAGTTTAAATCAAGATGACGCAAAGAGTGAGACAAAATCTGACGCGCAAGGAGACATAAAAGCGGTCATTAAACTTCAAGGAAAATCAGACGGGAAGAATGCCAAGGAAAAAGAGAGTAGGTTGAGCGCAAAAAGTGACACCGGAAGTGATACAAAATCGGACGGGAAGTCCAGTCCGAAAGTTGACTCGAAACACAACACAAAATCGGTTGCTGGAAAATCAAAAGGCGACCTGAAGTTGCAAATAAAAGCAGACTCCAAGGGAAACATGAAAAGTGACATGAAATCGCACACACGAAGCGACTCAAAGGGAAGTGACGCTAAATCGCACACACGAAGCGACTCAAAGGGAAGTGACGCTAAATCGCACACACGAAGCGACTCAAAGGGAAGCGACGCTAAATCGCACACACGAAGCGACTCAAAGGGAAGTGACGCTAAATCGCACACACGAAGCGACTCAAAGGGAAGGGACGTTAAATCGTACACACGACGCGATTCAAAAGGAAGCATAAAAAGTGATGACGGGAACACAAAACCTGAGAAAAAAATATTCAAAAGAACAGGCTCTGATGGAAGCATAAAAAGTGATGGGAAAACCCAAACAAGAAGAAATTCAAAGGGGGACATAAAACCGGAGAAAAAAATGTTCAAAAGAACAGACTCTGATGGAAGCATAAAAAGTGATGGGAAACCCCAAACAAGAAGAAATTCAAAGGGAAATATAAAACCTGAGACAAAAATGTTCAAAAGAACAGACTCGAAGGGAAGCGTGAAAAGCGATACTGCGTCTATTTGAAGCTCAACGGACGAAAACAAATTATCAACCAATACAAACAACAAAACCTGAACTGATATCATGATCAGTTCTAGTTTATAATTACGCCCCAATAAACCTTGAAAACTGATGTGATCCCCGTAGATGGGTAGCACCTTCGTTACGTGATATTTATATTAACGAAATATTCTGCCTGTTATTCGTCCCAATTAAGGGATTTTGTTCAATAAATTTCTCGTGTGAAATTTCATGTTAGAAATGTTCGTATGCTACATCTATTTTCATTCCCGAATCATCAAATCTTATCAAGTCTCAAATCTTTTCATTACATCAAGCGTAATAGCTGTATACATATGTAGCAGGTTTCTTCCTTACACCAAACGACGTGTTTTGTGAGGAATGGTAATCGTAAAAGGTACAATGCATGTTTAACTCAACCAAAAGTTTGTCAAACATTTCCGCTTTGATAACTGTGCAATACACACCCTGTTCTCATGATCCAACGGTGGAGCTGTCATGTGATTTCAATTCTTGGTGTACCCAAGGTCTTCCCGAAATGGCGACTGAAATCCATGTTCATGTTTATAATAATGATGTATCTTTATGAACAATATCTTTATTTTACCCACCTCAACAACGAAGCTTTCCAAGCAGATTTTTTAGATGATTTTTTGTAATCAATAAAAATCGAAATTTCTGCATTGTTTTCTTTTTGTATTTCATGAGTTTGGTGGAAAAAAATGAAAGACAAAACAGGTTTTCTCATTTTGAATTAATCTACATAGATCAAGAAAATCTATTACATGGATCAAGAAAATATATTACATGGATCAAAAAAATATGGATCAAAAAAATATATTACAAGGATCAACAATATCACTTACATTGACCAATAAAATGCATAGCTCAACATAATTAATTACATCGATTGTGGACGTCAAACATTATTCTTTTAAGTGAAAGCAAAGATTATGCATTTACTGCGAATAGCTTAATTGTCGGGAATATGTATTTTCGCGACAGTTCTGTTCTTTGTTTTAAAGTATTTTAGGTTTTCGGTCTGTGTTTTACGTCCTAGTACAAGCTCTGGTCATTTGATTGTGGAGGAAAACCGGAGTACCCGGAGAAAAACTACCGACCTGTGGATAGTACCTGCATGACGACTGCCCCACGTAAGTCTAGAGCCCGCGACGCAATTGTGAAGGGCTAGTGATTATAGACGGCCAGACACCTTAACCACTCTGCCACCGCGGCCCCTTGTTTCGCGATATATTTAGCAAACTTGTCTTATCGAAAATAAATATCCTATGCAGCATGCGATATTTACAGCACACAAGATAACGGTCAAATTTAACCCCACTTTTGTGGGGGGTTTTGGCAATCCTTGATTTTCGCTGCTTTTCTACAATGGTCAATTTCGCAGGATCTATTTTCCGCGGTTTTCAGACAGATCTATAGGACACAGGACAATTTTTCGTGGAAAATGATACCGCGAAAATTAAAATTCTGCAAATGTGCCTTTAAAAGTATACCCAACTGAACAAAAGACTGAAAATTGATTTCAAAACAGGTAAAGCATTACGCAAATTTGATCATTGATGTGACAGACCTTAAAGGGACATCACGTGAAAAGGCGTTTTTTTTTTAATGAATGTATGTATTGTATGCACTTCCACTTACGTTACCACGCTATCCCCATATTCATAGTCCGTTCCAAATGTCCAGTTTGACCACTTGAATTGTTCGGGAAAGCCCTGCTAAAAATAGAGCCGATACAGTGCGAGCGAGATGAAACGGTTTCCAAAGGGGCCCCCAGAGAGGGGCCGTCAGGCAACTAACGGTTCTTACCGCACTATGAAACCAAGTTATATGATTTCAGGGTTCTCCCCAGATTTTTTTTAAGCTGATATGTTTCATTTGCAACGAACATTCACGACGGACACGCTAATATAATACCTTATAATACCTTATCAAACCTAAGGGGGGTGGGGGGTGTAATATAATGTTTAAAAAGTTACTTTTATTTACCAAACTTCTTTTGGTGAACATTAAAACCAAGGAAATAAATAAGTGTTTCTTATGTCTGAATTTTCAGCAATATATTCTGAAAAAAAATACAATTTATAGAAAGGTGGATGAGTTTTGTACATTGAATAATAGATACAATGTATGACATTTGTGACATTTGTCTCTTATCTTTACATATGTATCCCTTACTTAATCCCCATTTAAAATAATTTAAAGAAGAAATATTTAAAAGCTATAGGGGGAAACACTTACATGAACAAGTTTATATCATAGTTCTTATTATTGTAAGAGAAAATGTTTTAATAAAATGTACAGTGTTTTTATTTCCTCTAAAACTATATTAAATACTGCTGTCAGTAAATGTGATCAAAGATTAAAACAGCATTTTTATTTGAGCTCTTCTTCATTAAAAACGACAAATCCGGAATTTCATTCCCCTTTCCGGTTTGTACTTTACACAATCCAAGATGGCGACCATCACTAACTGAATACACACGCTATTTCAGCGTTGTCAAATGCAATCATATGNATGTGTTGCCAATAAAATTAAACAAGGGATGGGGCACAAGTTTTTACAATTTATCACAGCCTTCTCCCGTCATACATTTACAATTAAATGTCAACAATCATAATAGGCATAAACATAAAGTAGATATATTTAAATATATATTGAATATAGTACCAGAATGTGTCCGGTACAGATGGTACGTGGCTAAACACCTTCCCTACACCAAGGGACAAACCTTTCTGGGGTTTTTTTTATATGTGCCGGGGCAGAGGAGGCCGGGTATTCATATTAGTACTAATTTAAATCTTGCATGTAAAAACAAAAATAATCGTTTAATTCAGCAATGTAATTAAATCATACCATTTTATTGAACCCGGTAATATTATAAATTATGTAAATCCACGGACTTCGATAACACGTATCTTGGTGACCCAGAAAATACGCCGTGGGCCATCACAACAGTTATCCCTTGGAGGGCCTCATGGAAAAATCAAACTAACCAGTCACTTATCCCTTCCTTACTCTCTCCAATACATGCCCATTAACATATTAAACTAAGTTCATCTGTGTTCAAACTCAGACAAAGATACTAGCGAGCTTAATAGTTTTAGATATTTATTCATTGCATAAACAGCGCTAGCATTTCTGTCGATTCCATTTCAGCTGAACCGGCTATCCGGAAATCCCTGAACAACCGATGATTTTCTTAGATTTAATCATTTTTATGAATCTATTTCAGCCAAATCCGATCGTTATTTTCCATAAGAAGTCTCACTTGATATGTTCATGTAGTATTTGAAAAAAAGACAAAAAATAAAGTTACTTCACGTGATGCCCCTTTAATTGCAGTGAAATCAAGGAAGACGGGATCATTTGGTGAGATACACAAAACGTTGGCGTTCTAGTATTTAAGACGTAGAAACAATTTTTTTCTACCCCAGGATCTGACTTAAACATCTAAAATGCATTTATTTTATGTTTCATAATAATGACTTTGGATTAAGAATTAGTGTCTTTTTCCCCCTCTTTCTCTATATATTTTTCTTCGTTCAGAAAGAGTACGATTTACGTCCCTTTATACGAGAAATGAATTATCCGATTTCCTTTGAGATCACACAAACTTTTAACTTATAACCTTGATTTATCTGCCTTTAAAAACACATTTTGTTCCACTATATTGATAATAGTATATCTATATGTACAATATCAATAAAATACTTTCAGAAAAACACCGAACATTAGAAAAGAAATGCATAAATGTTGACCTTCTCCTGCAGAGTCCAGATACCTACACCTATCATACAACATAATGATAGTAAATTAAATACGAGCTATTATTTCTTGTATAAAAAATTACCATAGTCAACAATTGTGTCATTGGAGTAAGAACATTGTAGCGCACCGCCAATTTCACATGTATATGAGGTTTCAGCATTGCTTATCATAGTCATGACCCCGAATATACTTCTAATTTTACCCCCGACTTCAGGTCAATATGTGTATGCTATTTTCACTTTGCGGTTATTGCTGGCGTTATAAAGAGACATTACTTTTGTATTGTCAATGAAAAAGTCTTCTGTGGATTCCTCCCAAGTTATCCCTTCAGGTCGGGAATCGAGAAAAGCAAATCTGCTGTTACCCACTGCATGTATTGTAAGAGGCGACTAATGTGGGGGGAAAGGTGACAGTCATTCTCCTTCTAACTATATATATATAGGCCAATTTCACTTTTATCTACTATCGGAACAGTTTTGGAACGAGTTATCTTCAAACACCTACATATTTTTTTTCTTAGAAAACTCATTGTTTTATTGAAATTTATCACAACATACATATTTTTCCTTCTTCAAGGACAATACGAATGTATGGTATTTTGTGATATTTCCAAGGCTTTTGGTCGGGTTTGGTATCAGGGTTTGATGGTTAAGTTAAAATCTTACGGAATTGTTGGTGAGTACCTGGTTAGAAAATTATTTATTTAATAGGCAACAGAAACTTTTCTTAAATAATTCTTAATCCCATTTAGGTTTGAACGAAGCAGGGGTTCCTTAAGGTTCAATTCTTGGACCGCTTTTGTTTTTAATATGCATTAATGATATTGCCGATGTGCAGATGATACTTCTTTATTACAGTCTTCTTCATCTTGTCATGAAATCCAAACAGTATTGAATAGGGATCTTGAGTATTTAAACGTATGGTCTAAAACTTGGTTGGTAACATTCAATCCAGACAAAACTGAGGTAATATTTATTTCTAATTCTATTGACATAGATGAAGATTTGGATTTGAAATTTGTTGGAATTTTACAGACCATCATAAGCATCTGGGAGTAGTTTTTAATTCAAGCGCTAAGTGAGAGGAGGGATCATGTTAATGCCATGTATAGTTCATGAAGAAAATTAACGTTTAACGAAGATTGAAATATTTGCTAAATAGGAATAGTCTTTTAAAAATGTATAAATCATTTCATTTTACCAGTTTTAGAATATACTTGTGAATTATGGGACGGTGGTACTTAATTTGAATCAGAAAAGAAAGAGAAAGCCCAAAGAGAAGCTGCTCGAATTATATCCGGCCTTCCTTCATATGCCCGTATCGAAGATTTACATTTTGAAACAGGTTTAGAAACTCTTTCTAATCGTAGAAAACGTAGAAAACTCCAACTTTTATATAAAATGCAAAACAACTTAACTCCAGATTATGTAAACGATCTCCTGACAATTTCTACTGCAGAAAATAACAGGTACCCTCTTAGAAATAGCAGTGATTATAGAGTTCCTCTATTTGGGCTTTCTCTTACCAATCTTTCCTTTATACCTTCCACTCTTCGTAGCTGGAGCTCGATAGATCTATCAGTACGATCGATGCCTTCTATACATTTGTACAACCATCCCCTCCTAACTAATTCAGGTTTGGAGAACGTAAATTAAATATCATACATACTAAACTGAGGCACAATTGTAGTTCCCTTAAGTATGACCTTTACATAGTTAATCTTGTCGAAAGTCCATTTTGCATCTGTGGACATCCATGTGAGAATACCTTTCACTTTTTCTTTGAGTGTCAACTTTTTAGCAATGAAAGGCGTATTGTTTCAAAATTTGAATGCTTTAGGTAAAGATTTATATTTAGAGCTGATTTTGTTTGGCAGTTCAGATCTTTCGGTGGACCTTAACTCTTACGTTTCTAGACATGTGCATCACTTCATCAAATCCAGCAAGATTTTTGAACGATGCTCTTTTAAAGTTGTGTATATCTATTTCATGTTTATGCCTATTATCATTGTTGACATGTAATTGTTACTGTATGACGGGAGAAGGCTGTGATAAGTTGTAATAACTTGTGCCCCGTCCCTTGTACAATTTTATTGGCAATACTTTTTTTTAAAGTATGGCAAAGTAACACATCTGGAATCTACCTCCTTTGAGCTATACTTAAAACATCGTTGGGTTCCATAGGTATGTTATATTTCCGAAATCGTACACATTTCACAAAATCAAAACAAGGCATCACAAGTGATAAAAATCCCCTCGCATTCACACATTTAGTCCGAATTATTCTGATGTTTTATCGGCTTTTTTATAATCGACGACAGACCGATATAAAAAAAGTCGATAAAACGTCAGAATAATTCGGACTAACACATTGTGTGCCATATGTATGAGGAAATGAATAGAAAATTCAATGATGTAACAGTAACTGTAGCGATTGCATCTGTTGAAGGTATTGTCATGGCAAACAATTGTATCAAGTTTCATAAAATTCCGTTGAGGAATGAAGTCGATAGAGCGACAAAATAGTAAATATTGACCTCGACATTCAACATAGAAACCCAAAACGCGAACTTGTTCAAGGCATTGCCACACTTTTATGAAGTTTACTGTATTTTCGTTGCAATTTAATGGTGTCCCCCGTCAAATTTATATTATCGGCTTTTACGCTAGTTTACGAGAAGCTACATGTATGGATCAGTTGGTGGCTGTAGACACCCAAAGATCAATCTATTAGATCATAGGGATCGTTTGGGCGTTTGGATGTTTACAACAGGGCAAGTGCTAAGTGATGGGTTTGTGCAATTCTGTTCTGCTAAGAAGTGAGAATTTTTTTTTTTTATGGCAGCGCTCTAATAATAAACAGCTTGAATGTCCTTTGTATGCTGTGGTTATTTCCAGGTTTCTTAATAACCTTTTGTACGGTCTTACTTATGTTCAAAAAAATCACAGCAACACAAAATCCCAGTTCAAGAAGCTTTTTTGTGAGGCTCTCAGTTGAATTATATGGTCATCGAAGCAGATAGTTTCTGTTAGAACTTGAAACGGGTTAATGAGTTTTGACCATGTAAATGGTGTTCAGCTTTCCCTACCTATATCAACCTATTTTCTGGATATTTTTAAACGAGCTTTTTTAAAATCTAAATCTATTTTCGTGTTGTTAAAACCATTTCAAAATAATTTGATGGTTGGTAGGTAACTATATCAGTCCCTTAAGGATGTACTCTTCTGAGGTTTCAGTCACGTTCAAGTCTCGTTTTGATCTGGTGTAATGGGTTTTTGTAATATTTAACAAATTATGATAGGTATAATAGCAAACACACATCTGAAAAACATGTAAAAAAAACTAGATGTCTGTTGCGTGTAGAACATTTTTTACAAGAATTTTTAAAAAATGACCAATTTGGCGGCCATTTTGAAAAAAGTGTATTTATGTGAATTTCTTGCGCTTCACAAAGGGCCAAAATTCTCCTTTTTTGACACTAGATCGATCACTTAAATTGTCATTGTGTCACCATTTTTAATTGTAGCAGGTTCAATTTTGCTGTACAACTTTATAATGTTCAATATGATTAAAATAATATGCAAAAAAGTGGAAAGTTATAGATTATTGATATTATTTTTACATATTAGGGTAACTGAAGCACTTTTGATTTTTGACCCCGAAAAAGGTGAAAAATAACACAAATAATAATGGGACAAAAAAAGAAGCACACCGACCCCCCATTTTTGTGGCTGTTTTAGAAAGAGAAACACATTTTCTTTTGATTCATTGAATACTAAAAAAAGTTGATTACAGGATTTTTTTATATCAAGCGTTTAATCGGCAAAAAATGGTGAAAAATGTGCATTTTTTCATTAAAAAATAAGGGGTAGGGGTAACTAAAATCGCATTTCTGAGTAAAATAAATAAGTTTAAGACATTTTACTTACATAGTTTCAAAGAAAATAATATTTTTATCAATTCTACAAACATTCATACATATCTGATAACACACTTGGAAGAAATTGTATGAATTTGTTCTGCAAATGGTCAAAACCCGAAAATTCACCTAAAATCACATATTGCGTTAAATTGGTATCTTTGACCGATCATAGCACAAAAACGAACACACCGACATAGTTTTTTTTGCATTTTCTACTATGTCATTATCTCCCTTTTCCAAAAATCAATATAAGAAACGGACATGTGCAAGAAACATTTGTACTGTATAACTCATTAAAGTTGAAAAACTATTTGTGGAATGAGGAGAAAGCATACTGCACTTGACCAACTAAGCTAAAGCAATATTTATGGATTCCCCATTTTCATAGAAATTGTCTCCCTTGGTGTATATTTCGATAAAATTGCTCTTACACCATAAATCTTGTTTATTAATTACAGACGGATTTCACTATTAGACGAAGTTCAAACATTAACGAAGTAAATTGTGTGCAGGTATTGCTCATTTTCTATTTTTAAGTGGAGCCTTTGCACTGTATAAGGACCTGCATCGCTCACCTGTTTGTTTTGGAGTTGTTGGCCAAATATTCAGAAGCGGTGGAAGGTGGAGTTATTTGACCCCTGTAACACACAGGCTGCTGGTGGGGGAATAGGAGCAGGACTCGACACGTTTCGGATGTTGTTATTTGTTTATCGTTTTAGCAACAGCCAAGGTCATATAAGGATGGGGTCCAAGAATGATGCGACCACTGACGGACTCTTAATTAAAAAAAAAGGTGCCACCACAGCGAGAGGCCGCAGGCATGGTAGCAATGATACCACAACTGGTTACATTATACAGACATTGATCCAACCCAATTAAAAGGTGAAGGTCACTTTCAATCACAAACTTTGTCGGGCTCCATCAAATGATGCTACTGGCCTAACATGATTCCTTTCGGATCTTCAGAAGTCGTTTGAAGGTTTAGACCTATCGATATTCGACACCCGTGACCTTGAAAGTAGGTCAAGGTCATTTTCATTTGCAAACTTTGATGGGGCTCCATCATAGGATGCTACTGGCCAACGATCATGATACAGGCATTTATGGTATTCAGAAGTTGTTTGAAGGTTTAAACCTATTTGACCCCTGTGACCTTGAAAGTAGGAGTCTTTTTCATTCCCAAACTATTTTGGACTCCATCATAGAATGTAACTGGCCAAATATTAGACTGTAGTACTTTCGGACTTTCAGAAGAAGTTGTTAAAACAAAAAGGTTGACGCCGTGCCATGACATGCATAAGCTCACATACTCTTTAGGCAGGCGAGCTAATGACAAAGTTTCATCAGATTCCCATCATAATTAAAGAAGTTTATGTGCAGAAACTAGTCAGCCAATAAGAGCATATCATACTTATTGATCATGCATGAACTTTGCTCAACTTCCAATAAGACTTGTTCTTCAACTTGTGTGCATGCAAAAAGTTTAATAAAAAATGATCGATACTTAAGCAAGTTATCTTGCAGAAACTGAAGTTTAGGAAAATTTCCGATCAGAGCACAGTATGCCAATTAATTATGCAGTTTTTGCTCAAGTTCGAACAGGAAGTAGCCTCAGTCTAGATCTTCATGTAGTGTGTACATGTAAACAAGAGGCCCATGGGCCTTAACGGTCACCTGAGTCTACAGTATTTATTTTTGTTGTTGAAATATGTACCAATTTGAGTAAAAAATAGTATAATGTTAACTTAACTTTGTCAGGACCATGAGCTGATCNGTAAACCCAAAGTGTTGGCGGGCGGACACTCCTCACAATTGTAGATCCATCCTGCTTTATACAAATTTTCAGTGGTTTCTAAATGCTGCACCACTCTTCAAAAATAATTCAATATCGTTCCCATGGTATTATATCTATCCCCATACTTACAGGGAAGCATCGTTATTCATGTTTATATAGATTGATTTCGTCTGGTGTTTGCGACACTATGGTATTGATTCAATTATCTTTTCTTTTTGTTAGTCGAGTGCATCCAGGGTTTTTATCCCACTCTGGAAATGCGGCCAGTGACTTTGGAATTCAGGAAAATAGTAGCCCAAATGGTAAATTTTTTGAACAAGTTTTTTTAAACGAAGCATCAAACCCCCTGATTTATTTGTTTTCAGAAAATTTAATTTCAGATTTTTCTGATAAATAGTGACCGTATTGACCTATTGAAGAATATATTTTTTGTTTTCTTATATATTTTACTCCCAATAGGAATGAATTTTGAAAAGAATTTGGCAGAATATAGCAATAGTTTCCATAAGGATTGGTGTCTTAATAAAAACCCTGCTACCACATGTATTAAATGTAGGTAGACTTCCGTGAAACAGTTTAGTAAATTATGTGTAAACACATGTAGAAAGGAACTGTTGGAAATCAATTAATCTTGACATATATTCAATTTTATTAACTATATATATAATATATATACATATCTCCTGAAAGTAAACAGTTTTGAAATATAAATAAACATCTTTAAATACTATCCACCAGACATACATGTACGGTTAGTTCTGTGCAGCTACATGCTCCCAACCCAGATTGAAAAGATTTTAGCAACAACTTCGAAGAAGGGATGACAAAATAGAACTCTGAAAAATTACAATAATATTTATTTTGAGACAATCATGATTATCTTTTATCCATATAATCTCACGATGAAAGGTGAATTTACCGATTTGTACACCCTTAATGTTTTCCTGAAGAATGGATAATGAAGAGAAATGCACAGGATGTAACAACAAATGTTAACAGGTAATGAGAAAAATGTCGATGAGTGAAACGTCTGTCAACAACAACAGTCAATAGACACCTGTAACATACAACTTTTTCCATCTTTTTTTTTTTACAAATACTTTAGTGTCTAAGCTAGTTACACTTTACTAACAACTAGAAATCTCCCTGCCTGAAAATCCATAGCATCTGTAGAGCAAAATAGCAGCTCTACAACAAAAACTGGGACATGTATCCCACAGGAGTCTTGTTCATCATCCCTTGGCCTAGAAATACAGTGTCGCTGTCAAAGGGATCCTACAACCTTCGGCCATCCAGTCTGGCTTCCATCAGCAACATATTGACTGCATTTATCCCCCAGTTTGGTCACAAAAGTGTACCAACAACGTACATTCCACGTGATTTTTAATGACAACAAATTTAATGAAAAAATCTAATATGTCCATAGTCCGTAATTACTTTGAGGTCATCATCGTCACAAACTCTGCAAAATGAAAAAAAACAAAACATTAGAAATATGCGAATAAAACATTATGCAAAAACAGAATCAATAAATCAAAGACAGTTATACAAAATGCATTTGTGTTAAACTATATATTTTACAATCTTCAGGGTCTGTGGTATTCTATCGTTACTTTGATGGTTGAATCATTCAGCATCAAAATTAATTGTCTTCACCAGCATAGGGGTGTAACTAACGTTATGCCTCCTTAAAAAAAGTTCTGTAAATATCTTTAAATTTGGAAACCTCTGAAACACAATGAATGGATCAAAAACATGCATTTATGCAACCAACAAGAAGACTTCCATGCCAGATACGTTAGTTGAAATCGAAGCAAAATACAAACTCAACCTTTACAATGTCCATAAATATGTTATATACTGCACACAATATATGAGTATTGTTTAGTATGCTCTTCTGCTAAAACTCCACCGGTACCTGGGTAATTTTGTTTGTATTATTTAACCGATACTAGTTGATGGGAACAGTTGAAAAAAGCAACCAGGCCATCACAGATCACAGGATGGAATTGGATGACCCTACTTTATCAATCATCAGGTAATTGCAAGTGTATCTATTTTTTTGTTTGTTCCTGAAGTATTTACTAAATATAGCCAATTTAACTTTTACTATACTTTTGTTTTACTTGGATGTACACCAATAGCCAGACATCTGTCTGCTTCTTTTTTGATAAGAATTTTACTTAAAAGCAACTTCTTGCTACATATCCTTGCATTAAAATTCCAAAGAGGCAGTTTGTCAAGTCAAACTTATTGGACAGAGGCAGGTTTGAAATCCTGGCTAAAAACCTACACGTCAAAATTTCCATTTAACCTGCAAATATTTAATATGGCATTCAAAAGATAAACACGTTGAAATTAACTGATCATAGATTATGATGAAATGGGTACAATGTCCAATTACTGCCTAAGTGATTCTAGTCCATCATCAGCGAGCCCATCACTAGTGTTATAGTAAGCTGCACAAAACAAATAATATCAGACAGCATTTTAAAACCCAAAATATCTGATTAGATAAGGCCAAACAGTTAGTTTTTGAGACCGTCTCGGCTCCGACAAGTTAAAATATTAGTTCCGTTTTAGATACATGTACACTCAATTACCAAAATGTTTTAAACCTTACAATCGTTTTCATCAATTTATACTGATTGTTTGCTGGATCTCATAATCACATGCAGTCACAAGGAAATGTAGATTTCACAATATCTACATCGTATGTTCATAGCATCATTGATTTAAATTCTGAAAGAAAAATACATCACAGCTTTGAGAATTACTTCATAATTCAAGCATCCTACATCTGAATTTCATTCAGGATTTCAGGATTCATGTACATGCATGTTTGAAGAAAATTGTTTGGCAGTTTTTTCTTCAAATTCAGAGACCATGTATATAAGGGCTGTCACAATATATCGCAAAACGGTATATAGCAATACACGGGTATATCGTATCGTACCACAATACAGAGATGAAATATTGCTGTATCGCAATATTTTTCAAAAGCATATTTCTAGGTATCTGCTTGGTATTTTAACTTTGCAAATTACTACAAATTCTAACATATGCCAATAAGAATAAAGCAGGCTTTTAATTGTTCAAATTTTGTAATCGATGGTTGGTTTAACAAAAATCTTAAATCGATGTTATCCATATTATATATGATTAAGTTCGATAACATTCCGACAACAATTTATTATAAAATTGAGCACATCCTTCCTATGACAATATATCGGGATACGTAACGCAATATATTCATTCTGTATTGCAATATATGGCGATACACTCTTGGCGTATTGCGACACCCCTTATGTACATGTGTGAAGGGTAGGGAAAAGCAGTGGTTTAGTTTACCTTGTCAACATTGCATTTGAATTTAAAAAGAAAATTTGATCGAGCATTTGCAGAATTATACCAATTATTATAAATAAAGCAGAACACTCCACATCACTGTAAGGATTGATATAAAGCAAGGCATTAACAAGCAAGTAATTTTTTTACAGCCTATTCATATTATATACCATTTCTCCTTTTTATGCATTTCAAATTAATTACACATAAATTGAACACAGAACCAAACCAACTTCTCTAGTATTCAACACTTTAAATAATTTCCATTGCAATTTTTATATGGGGCCAAACTTTTAAATGCAATATCATGCAACCGACTTGTAATTTTGATTGTAGTCTTGGAATAATCATTTTTTTACCTTTAATCATTCTCATTTTTTTCTAAATGCATCATTGCATTCAGGCTGTTCAGTGAATGCATTTCCTATTAAAATCTATCGAGCCCATTCCTCAAAGTATGCAAGTTGGTTTCCTGCTTACTTAGGAGGCAAAAATATCTCGCTCCCTAGGAGAGATTTGGGCAGATTTTTTTTGCAGAAAAAGATTGCTGCACACTACTCCACAACACATCTGTCAAATCTTTCCTATAAAGAAACTCCAAGTAATAAGGGAGTTGATCATTTAGGAATTATGTTGAATGCATCTTAGGAGAGTTGCACCCCCCCCTCCCCAATTTAGTACATCCAAAACTATTTCTAAAATGCAACACATTCTGGCTCTTTTCTCCCCCATCCCAATTCACAGCAGGTAGTGGTAGAGCATGCAAATTAGAAATTTTAGAACGGAAAGATGAATCTATCACAAAATTACGTCCAATTTGACATTAAAAAAGACTTGACAAGGCCTCAGGTTTAAATATTGAAAGGCTCCGAGCTGATCTTACTTAAAAGTTGTTTTTAACCTTGGCGTATTATCAGACCCGATATAACAATGATGGGAGTGGTTCAGATTTTCAAAAATTCCAAGCAATTATTTTAATGCAAAACCATACGTAGTCATCTAACATAAATTCCTTTGTTGTGGTATGAAGCAAATCTTCATGACCATTCAGGAATAGACACGCACCTTCATAATTGACTTGTCCATCACCATCAATGTCAGCCTCTCGGATCATTTCATCAACTTCCTCATCTGTTAGTTTTTCTCCTAAATTTGTCATTACGTGTCGTAACTCGGCTGCACTGATAAAGCCATTACCGTCTTTATCAAATACACGGAATGCTTCACGGATTTCTTCTTCACTGTCAGTATCCTTCATTTTCCGTGCCATCATTGTGAGGAATTCTGGGAAGTCAATTGTGCCGTTTCCTGGGGGAGAAATGAGTTGCCGTTAATTATGAAGTACTTCAACTATTGTAAATCATGTCAGCTGTCAATGGTTTTCTCGACCCTTTTAAACCAAGACAGAAAACTTTGAGGCATGAAATGCTGCTAGGCCATTCCCTAAGTTTTGTTTGTACATGTATAGCTTAATTTATCAATTCAGTCATACAACATCCAGCGAAAGCTTGAAAATTAATAGTACGATTCCCAGAAGGCAATAATGAAACATGAATAGCAATGCAGCTAAATACTTCTTCAAATCTTTGGAATTCCCCGAAATTTGTTGTGTCTACATGAATATGAATGTCATTACTTAACCCAGTTTTTAAGACTACACAAACCAAAAAGTTAATGCAGCATTAATTTTGTCGATTGATTACCACATTCCAACTAGTTATTTTAAAGTTTATTTCATCGACCTCACCCCCCCATGCAAATTTGACCCAAAATGATCTAATCCAGGGGTTTTGCCAGCCATTTTGGGAAAGGGCCGCTGAGCAGGAATTGGGAAAATATCATCAGCATTTGGCAAAAATTGGGAAACATAGTGTTCCCACATGTACAGGTAGGGTTGGAAAAACTGAAACCTGAAACCTAAAGAATGCAATTGGGAAAATGCAGGGTAATTTAAGCAATTTTTCAATTGGGAATGGGTCCTTGCACCAGACCCTATAAACAGCTGGCAAAAACCCTGTAATCTCAAATTGTTGATAAATATTTCAAAGGAATGCATCCATTATCTGGCAGTCACTATATTCAATGCAACAAAATAATAGCGAAAGCATACACTACGCATTTTTTTTGCAGTCTGTAGGCAATTCAATGATTTGATAAACATCGGAAAGATGTTTCCGTAAATACTTCTATATTGAAATGGTTTACCAGAAAATGGGCAAAAATATATATACATGATTCAAAACAACACTTTTGACAAATTTCAAGCAAATTGAATATTTTGAGCTTTCCCCTACTAATCCAATGGAAAAAGGACTGTTGCTTCAAAAAAATTGAGTTGGTGGCCTGATGGTACCCTCAAAAATGGACAATGTCATGCTGTTTCCTGATCAATATTCTGGGACGATATTTGAAAATTGTCTGAATTCTTATTTTGTTCTCCCCTAGGACACCAATTCAAATACTCTATCTTTTGATACTAAACATCATATATCGGTGGAACACTAAGTTTAACTCATTCACCCCTGAAATTTCAACCTTTGAATTGGAAGAGTTCAAATGTGTCTTCAGGGGTGAATGAGTTGTATCAAAACTCCCATTCAGGGAGTAATGTATAGATTTATACTGAATATGTGCTTAAATTAAAATCTCTTCAAAATATTTCCTATTTATTTGAAATTGTCTCCCCTTGGTCCATTTAAAATTCATTATTTGTTCCCAAGTATTACCATCAGCATCAACCTCGTTGATCATGTCCTGTAACTCAGCTTCTGTTGGGTTCTGTCCTAGTGACCTCATCACTGTTCCCAACTCTTTTGTTGTGATGGTACCATCTCCATCCTTGTCAAACAGACTGAAAGCTTCCTTGAATTCTGAATAAAAGACAAAAATAACATATTTCATTGTTGTAGCTGAACTGAGCAACGATTCTAAAATAAATGATGACCGTGTTGTGCTGGCCAGCTATGAATCTTAAAATGGGACCTTTTACATAAGCATGAATCATGCATCATTTTACAGAGTTTAAATGGGATCACTGTTATTTGACAACCCGTCGCTATGATAAAATAATTCCTGATTTAAGAAACTATTTCATATTTATAGTAGCCTGCTACTAACTAGCCTGCAGACAGAATGCTATTAACTCGACCTATAAAATCATAGTAAATATTGAAAACTTTCACTTTGGGCAGACAAAAATGTGCATGTCTTACGCCGGGATATTGAAATTGTACACCCTAGCCATATTGAAGACAGAGGACATGTACATTTTTTCCTGCAAAAATACCATTAATTTATACAAGCAAAATGTTCAAATCTGCACATACCTGCTATTTGTTCTTCTGTTAGTTGATCTGCCTGAAATGTACAAAGAGTGAAAAATTATAAGTCTACGAGCATATATTTGTGCAAATTGGAACAAGCGTGGACCGATTATGCCATCCGATTATCAATCAGATAACATTGTTTTGCATGTATTTACTACACAAGCGACATCAAGAAACAGACATACATAACCTAAACAATATTTTAAAATCAATTCAACTTCGTCAAGCTGGTACGCCTACATTTGAATTATTACAAGTGTTGTGTATGAAGGGAGACAACTTGCAATAGTTTATTTTCTTGTAACATTTAAAGTTCCCAAATTGTTGCCAAGGTGTACTGGGGAAAATTTGGTTTCATTTGTACGAATATTTTTTTTCTTGAAATTGGCCTGTCAGATTATATCGAGACAACCAGTGTATCGTTTACACTAGTTTATTACACTGAAATACATAATCGAAAAATACCAAGGTGCTATAATATATTAGTTATCAAAAGTTGTTTGCGTCGATTAGGGGAAGGTGTTGATATTTTCGGCCACCTTTTCTGTTAACTCATTCACCCCTGAACTCAATGAACTATTCTAACCTTTGAATTGGACGAGTTCAAATGTGTCTTCAGGGGTGATCGAGTTAAAGTTGATCTATATTTGTACAGGTGTCACATGTATCGTTCATACCTCAAATTAAAAGGACATCACTCTTCATTTTTAACTTTTTGCTGAAGCAAGCTATATAACTTGTGTTGTTATTTTCGGCCATGTGTTGTATTTTTTGTCGCAGGCGTTACGATTTTGGACAACAAGTTATTTGAAATCATGTTTAAAATGTTTTTTAAATTACTTATTATTGCCCAAAACAATGATTATTTGTTAGTCAATGTATAATCACTGATGACAAGATTGTTTTCACTCACTTTTGAGAGAACTTATGCCAAAAAAATAGTTAAAATTGAAGGAAATATCATAGCTACAGTAGGTTTATATAAATTACCTTCCTTTGTAACCAGGCTATCAATTGAGAGAACTTTGATAATGACTAAACATTATGTCAGATGTCATTGATTGTTAAGGGTGAATTTGGGGTCATTTCAAGCGTTACAAAATCATTTTTATCCTAAAAGTCATGCTTCTGTGAGGGCATTTTTTCAGAGTGACAATACGATACACATATACCCCTGTTGAAAAGATGCAGAAATATCACTGGACATGCCTTTAATCAATAACAGGTTATTTTAAATGGTAGGGAAGTATATATTTTTTAGTTGATCATCAAAACAACGCAAATTTACGTACTAATTTTAAACAACAGTTAATATACTACTTCCGTTCCAGTTTATCCTGGTTTATGAATATGTTTTATCCCTCTTTTAAACTGAAAACATGTACTTAGGGGCCTACTTCATAGCAACTGGTCTACACAACAACATGCATACATAAGTACATTAGCATTCAAATTGAATAGTAGGCTGCTAGGCAACGTTGGGGGGGGGGGGGGNGAACGGAACCTTTTTAATTTTGAAATTTAGTTTGGTTTGGTTTAATTTTGTTTAACGTCATTAAGTTTGTTTATTAAAGTTAGTATAACTTGACAAATTTTATACATTTCATTTTTCACTTGCAACAAAATATGCCAATCGCGGTTCCAGAACGCGTAAAAATAAATAAATGTCCTATGCTTTCCCTTTCTATATTTGAATCTCACCCGGTTAAATTATTTAAAAACCAAAAGTAATAAAACCCTATGCCAACAAATTTGCGATATTATCAATTAACGATTAATGATAATAACGAATCTCAAACAAATGTTAACGACTATTGTCTTTTTTCTTAAATCGTTCACATTAGGCCTACAGCGAATGAAAATGCCGCGCCAAGAAACTGTCACTTCAAAATAATATTTAACTCTGGAGAACCTTTGATGTCACGGTTGACAGCTCGGTTAAAGTCGATAATAACGCTTCAAAATAAAAAATACATATACAACAAGAATAAAAGTAATGTTGTCTTCAAACAAAATATGAGTTTTTGATTTGATGTTTCACAAAAATTCACTTACCATTGTGGATTTTAAACTAAGCTGTCTGCCGTGTTCAGATGCTCTATATTCCCCGTGTTTAGTTTACACCGGTAGTCCTGTCGGTTATATTAGTCCGCTGTGTTGTATTTGTAGATAAATCCAAATGGCTTCCTTGGTTCTTATACAAACTATCTGTATTCACAAATATCGTATAATTCCACAGCAGAAAATGTACGTGTAAACTAGGAATCGTTGAATTAAGAATGGACTATTTTCAGTTCAGCTTCCATCAACATCGCGGAAATGGCTCGTATCTCGCCCTAAATTACCACGGAAACGTTTGTAACGGTAACGCTCATTGGTTCGGTTACACCTGCAATGCGACAACGCGCACTGCGGCAGATGGATGTTTATTTTGTGAGGAGAGTTCCGGAGAGGCAGCATACTCACATGTCGCACGGGGAAATTCATAATTTCACATTCTTTGAGGATCAAATTTAGACTAGACGACATCAATTATGTGAAACTAGCATTGTTTTCATAGGAATCATTCAGTAGTTAAATGAACATCGCTTTCATTGTGGAACAAAGGGCTGTTTAAATGTACGTGGTCACACGTTATTTAGGCTAACACAGCGTAGATAGCTAGCTGGGTTCATGATAACACCGTCATACTCACGGTTATACTGGAAACTTCAATTCAGTAAACAAAATACGATACGTATCTAGTTCTATGTCAGTCGTAACAAACGTAATCACTAAATGCTGTCCCGCCGGCTAGATTTTCTGTTATTTTTCTAATAGTGTTAGCCACGGACTCGGATAACTAATTCCGTGGTATATCCCATTATAGGCCTACACTGGCTACAGGCAGTACAGCTGCTGACAGCTCTTTTTTAATTAATTTATCTTGAACATATATTCTGTGATATTAGAGAAGTAACTTCTCATTTCGATTTTTTTTTTTGTCGATTGCTGATTAATTCTGGTCTAAATTGATAGAGCACTGTTAGCCCACAAATACAGATAGATCATGATACGTCGTTACTTTGACTGTTTGTTCTCATTATTTGTGTTTTAAAGTTGTAAAAACGTATGTTATTAAACTTTGTCGTCCTTCGCTATAAATATCTACTATTCCGAAATGAATAAATCGGAATTTGTATTGAGTTGTTAAAATAATACATTTATTATACTCTATCTTTCGCTAAAAATATTTATTATTCCGAAATGTAGAAATCGAAATGAATTTCAAGCTAACCAGAACTAAATTCGTTGAAATCTTAACCTGAATAAATTTCAAATTCAAATCGGTCACGATTGTGTTTGCACGTCAGAGTTGATTTGTTCTGCATGTATCATATCACCAGAGACGTATATTCAATTAAATAATGTTATTGCCCATTTATAACTGCAAGGGTGAACAATATACAAACTTACACAGAAGCCAGGCCCACACTCCTCAGTTTAAGTGGCCGGTGAGTTGCATATTGTCAGAAGATAGAATATGTGTTAAAGTATTTGTGTCAAGTATAGCATAGTTTTGAATATTTATACTTAAAAATATTCCTGTCTCAGCCGTGTATTATAGCCACACCTGAAGAAGAAGTATTCTTCATCTTCTAGAACAAGATATTTTTACATACTCTTTGCTCTCTAGGTTTTTTTCTTGATCTTCCTATTGCCAGTTTAAGGTTACGCTCACACAATCTGAATTTTGTATACAACATTCTTATGTTTTTATAAGTGATAGATAGGTATTTTTCTTGTGTGTATATTTTTTTTAATATCTTTATACAAGAATAATATATTTGTATCTGTCATCGCTTGTAGTTTCCTGAAAAAGTTAGTTTAAAATTCTTTAAAAATGCTAGTTTTAATTCCCTGTGTCAATTTTTTAATTGCAGATATATATGTCTCTGATTTCACATACCATATCTGTTGTAACTCATAATTATCAAGTTAGTTTTAGAATAAAAGAACCGATTGAAATGCTAGATAGAGCCCTTTCCTTTTTTTCTGATATAAAATTTCGAATGATCATTAGCAAAGTTAAAAGTAGCCATAGAACTGCTATTTAATGATTCAATCTTTATGTAATATATCATAACATTGTTTTTCTTCGTTAGTCAGTAAAATAACAGCGTTCTCTGGTATGTTTGAAGATTGATGATAGCATTTTGGATTGACTTGAGAAGAAATTAATATCCTTACTAGTAATATAATATCAATGAGTTAGAACTATGTGCAGGAATACCGTTAGAGTGTTAAGGTATATTATCAGTTTTCTTTTACATCTGGTCCTAAAACTTCGTAACCCCCCTCACCCCAAGTCTCATATATGGTGAGTAGTGAATGCAGGAGGGGTTAGGGACATCGCATTAAACTAAAATTACTCAGATACCAAATAACTGTATTCAAAAAATCAAACATCATTCCCCTTAATTAATTAAGGGGTTTGTTATTCCGTCTTTGCATATTGCAGAGTTATCTTCTCTTGGGAGGAGGTATTGATTGGTACGTCAATTGTTTGTGAGAGTAACGTCATCAATTGTCGAGAAAACGACGTAATTTTCTCACACAAATCAATGACGTAACAATCAATACCTGCTCCCAAGAGAAGATAACTCTGCAAAACGCAAAGACGGTATAACAAACCCCTTAATTAATTAAGGCGAATGATGTTTGATTTTTTTATTACTCTCAATGTAGGGAAATCTCTATCTCTCGTTGTAAGGCAGACATACGAACAGACGCCCTCTTACGGATGATTTGACAGAAAAGGGATGCAAAATGATTCTTTGATATTTGTATGTATTAAGGTTCTATTACGTTTTTTTAAACAAGCCGGTTGTTTTACAAAAAAAAATTACTAACGAACATTGGGGCGCTATCGGTAGACTTTACCAAAGAAACTGCCCCAAGGGAGAGAGACCGTTTACTTCCTTCGGGAAGGAAATGCATTTAAGACAATAACTTTTCTTTCAGAAATATATTGTCGATCTAAATTCAGATATCGTTATATCGTCTACGTCAGATATCGTCTATCCAAATGTGTCATGTCCCGCCACAGAGATCACTGTCCCCCTGCAGGTTAGTGTGTAAGATACGCCTGGCGGACACCCAGGAAACGATCAGACCCGTAAGAATGAATGGCCTTGGTGCTTATTACTGTTAAGTACTCTCTCGCAGTGGGTAAAACTGGTAGTGCAACCCTGCAAAGTGCATTCAATGTCGATATGTGTACCGATCACACACGGAGCAAGTCCCACGGAGCCCGACGATCTGCATACTGCACTCACTGTGTGTTAAAACATGACTTGTAATCTAGATAATTTACCTGGAAGACGTACGTATATACTCGTGTATATATAATTTTGTACCATGTTGTCTGACAGGTTTCAAATGTTTCAAAGCGAAGGTTGAACAAATACTGCATGATAACCCACAACCCACCCACTAGATAACTGATCTCTCGGATAACATCTAGTAAAGTGTGTATGTTATCGGAATATCTGGTTAATGATTTATTATTCATATAATGGGAGTTATAATTTCCCTCACTGCGCATGCGGAAAAAATGTTTTAAGCCATGCCTTTACAGGTGGAACGGGTTACAAAAGTGTGATATGTCGCTTCACAATCCTGTACAGATATCCGATACAATTGCTCATGAAATATTTGTAAGCAATATGTCACATTTCCACTGACAGTGTGCATTACACTTAACGTGTAGTGATGTCACGTGATTGAAATGTCCTCGTCATCGTGTCGTTACCAGAGTTTGGTATTTCGTAACATAGATACTGGTCATAGAGATAAAATATTGAACCCTAACTACACAAGCATCAAACGCTGTGTCGGCTGTAGTCCGACGAAGGCACGTAAATTATGCATGTTTAGTAGATGAGCGACATCGTTTCGAATTGCGCAAGGCGATCAACCGTCACTGAAATGTAGACCTAACACTCCCTTCTAATAAACATTTAAACTTCAGCAAATAAAGAAATAAAACAAATTCATTTTCTCTGATCTCAATAACGACCACCAATGATTTGTAAACTGTTTGATGTTTATGTCTCAAATATTTATCTTCAGTAACCTTTAGTATAGCTTGCTCCTATCTATACTTGTTCTAATCCTTAATCTTAGCCATGTCGACCCGACCCACACCAAGCTCAGTTATACATGTACCAACCCGACCCAATACTCCTCAGTCATACCAGCTTTGTGTAATAATCATCCCAACCCCTTAGCAAACGTTATCCCATGCATACTAACCCTCACCTATACCCAACCCTCACGCATACCTAACCCTCACCTATACCCAGCCCTCACGCATACCGAACCCTAACCTATACCCAACCCTCACGCATAACCAATCCTCACTTATACCCAAACCTCACCTATACCCAACTCTCGCATACACCAACAATCACCTATACCCTACGTACCCTTACCCTTACCCATACCCAACCCTCACCCATACCCAACCCTAACGCATACCAACCCTTACCCATACCCAACCCTCACCAATAGTCAACCCTCACACATACCAACTCCAAGCCATATCTTTCCCAACCCAATACTAACCTTCGTCAAACCCAACGTCATAGCAACCTCACCTATAACAACCCTATGCGGCAACTTTCAGCACCCGATGCTAACTAACCTTAATTCGGCAAACCATTTTGAGGCAGACTCTCAGTCATACATGACAGCAATAATCGTTGCTATCCCATACCCAACATTAACCCTTATCCATACTAACCCTAACTTATACCAACCCTCACCCATACCCAACCCTCACCCATACTAACCCTCACACATACCAACACCAAGCAATATCTTTCCCAACCCAATACTAACCTTCGCCAAACCATCAGTCATATATACCAACCCTCACCCATACCAATCCTAGATCATATCTTCCCTCAGCCCGATACTAACTTTCAGCCATTACGATCCCCATATACCAACACTCCGTCACAATGACTCCACTCCCAGGCACTCCATTGTAGGCATCAAGGACTATACACGGCTATACGAGGGAGGGGCGTACACAGCAGGAAATCCGGGTTCCTTAAAAGTCAAGTTTATTTATTTAAAATGGAATAATGACGTCAATATAAAGTGGTTTGAATTGAATTAATGTTAACGCAAATTGATACTGATTTACCACCAATATCATCGGGTCTATGAAAATGACGTTTAGACACACATCACCAACACAAGTTTGTATACTACCTCACCAATTTCATAGTCACTATGTCTATGCTTTGCACGCCTGCAGGTCGGGGATTGATAGAATAATATATTGTACTGTATGCTGTTATCCACCGTATGTTGTAACAGACTACTATGTGGGATCTCCCTGCAGAAAAGGGGATTTGTGTATGCTTCCTCGACTTTGAGA